TCTAATTATACGTACGCGTGTAATGCGCAAGTTTATTGTGACGGCACTAAACCCATCCCACTCATTGTTCCCCTATTTTCATAATGGTACTGACCCAATGAAATGGAGTGCAGTGCGCTCGTACGCGCTGCGCTAGCGCTACGCGCGTGTGTTCATGTACTACTGTACTGTACTTATGCATGTTCAGTTAATGCATAGCATATTACGTACACATCACGGCTAGCTGGCACAAAACCTTGGGTCGGGCTTCTAAAATGGGACATGAAGCATGATTTGACATGAAAATTGACGGGGCTAAAAATGAATCAATCAAAATGAGATTTATATGTATGAAAAGCTTACGTATCATATGTCATTGTCTTGGATTGAGGATTTACAAATTTGACGCAAAACGCGTTGCTGCAAAGTTAAAGATTGGTTTATTGAAAAGCAATCGAGCACAGTGCGACCGATCCATTGACATTGTGTATGAGAGAGTAATTTTTTTTAAATGGATTGTAAAGTTCAACGTCAAAATGACGGAGGGTTTTTTTCAAGTAAGGGCATGGTTTTACATGGAATGTAAAGGAAATGTTTCCTTCTTCTCATATCTCGATTGAGGATATTATACTCAATTTCGATTTTTAATGGTAAAGAAAAGTGTAAAAAGATGTCGAGAATTTTACCATATGTCATGTAATATAAAATGCGCGCGGGTCGGTTGATCTCCCAAAAGGAGCGCGAAGGAATTGATATGTAATACGGATACGTGCCTCTTTTCCTTTCTAATAAGGGACCTTTTCATAAATGCCCCCTTTTACCTGTTATACATGGACCTATCAAAATCTTATGGTTGCCCCTTTCCCGTCGACAAATGCCCATTTTCCATTCTCATAAGTGCCCTTTTTTCATCCCTGGTGAGTGCCTCTTTTCAAGTGTAAGGAGTGCCCCGTTTTCATCTAATAAGTGTCTGATCCCTATTGATAAGGGTCCCCTTTTCCTCTCATCATTAAACTTGCCCCTAATTAAAAGGGATTAGAGCAGTTTTACCCAAAGTTCGCTCGCTACGCTCGCTCGCATTTATAGATGATAATATAATAATGTTACTTATCAAAGGTCTTTTCAGTCTTCCGTTATGAGAATGTGCTTTAGGATTGGGTTTTTCCTCTTAATAAGATTTAATTTTTTTTTTCCGCCCGCAAATGAATATTCAGACCATCACACCAGTTTGCAATGTATGATGTTCAAGCAATATTTTGTATGATGTATAAAGAGAAACAAATATAGAAATCAATGTAGGGGTATAAACCAATGTCGAAACAAAATTGTATATTTTCGCTTTGAGATTTCTCTTTGAAGGTGCCCTTTTTACCTCCAGAAAGTGCGCTTTTTCGTTGGTGCCCCCCCCCCCTTGGAAGTCGCTCAGCCGCCCCTGGCTCTAACCTTCCAATTTTTTTTGTTCCCTCGGTCGCTACGCTCTTATATTATGGTTCTGAACACGAATTATTACCTCTACGCACCCAGCCGGAGGTAAGAGGGGAAATTATTGGAGGGGGGGGGGGGGCTAATTGCATAGTGATTGTGCGGTGTAATGATGTATACTTTGTATTGATAGTTTCTAAAATGCAAAGTGTTAATGTTCAAATATTATTCGCCAATTAATGCATGGTATCTTAGCACTGTATTATTTACTTTAACGAAAATGGCATATGAAAGTCTCCAGTCCTTCCCCAATGTGGTCTACATGAACAATACCGTGCAAAACAACAGGGTTTTCTTCGACCATGACAATACATCTTTGGAAGTACTCCACAATTCAAAGTTTCAATATTACAAAGAGCACCCTTTTTGCTCGACCGCTATGCTCTCTCGCTTAAGGTGATACAGAATCTTATTTCTAAATTGAAGAGTCGGTGCAATCGCTTTCAACTGAAATAAATCGCATGCACTTACATGACCCTGATCCACTTTTCCACTACTAATAAAAACTTCATCTTCTAAATCCTAACGAAAAGTTGGTCAAATGCAATATTTATTCCCCATTGATCTGTGTTCGAATTAGTATGGGTTAGCTCCGCCTCCGCTACTTTTCACTACCACTACTTTCCTGTATTGGGCAAATGTTTGATTTATATCCTTTACTTGAATCCAACTAAAAGTCTTTAAAAAAAAATGATCTTACCTTCCAACTCATTAGGGGGGGGGGGATAAAGAAAAAACGAAAAGTATTGAATTTTAATTTAAAAAAACCCCAAAAGACCGGGGAAATACAGAAAGCATTTGGTGGATTGGATAAAGAAACCACTGAGAAGTAGGCCCATAAATCAACAGTAGTAAATTAAAAATAATCCCCTAAAGCCACATAGTATAGTTAGTGTCTATGTGTAATCATGATTCGCTGACACTAGATTTGGTTTGATTACCATTTAATGTGTACATGTGTGCAAAAGTCTCTGAAGCAGCGAACCCGTGGTCCCACCAGAAAATAATCCAACTTGCCTTTATACCTCCGGGGTGAGGGAAATTTGATTGAGATTTCCATAAAGTGGTAATTTAGGGCACAGTATACTAATTAACTACAGACCTGTCTGTCGTAAAAGTGAAGTCCACTCTTTGTGACTGACGACACCTGTTATTGGGTAAATACCAGAATGGTATCAAATTCCACATGACTGCCCACTACTATGCGTCTTCAAATGGGGATAGGCCAACGAACTCAAACTAGGCGAGAAAATGTACAAGGGTTCAGGATCTTTTCAGCAACGAGGAACACAAGAGGGCGTAAACAACTATATCGACTGCCGCCGATTTCTTTGCAAGAGTTCAATAAGGTTGGATTATGAATTTTTGTCGGGAGAGGGCACAATTCCGAACAAATCTTCGACAAGGAGAAAGAAGAAGAATAAAGATGGAAATTAGAAGGTCGTGATATTTTAACAGAAACAAACATAGGTACAAAAAAAAGAGAATTACCGGTATTTAAGGACTGACTTTGATACATAATGGAGAGATAAGATGGAAAAATGAAGTGGTTTTAGGGGCTTCTGTGAAGAAGAGGTGGGTAGAGAAGAAGAAGAAGAAGAAGAAGAAGAAGGAAGAGGAGGAGGAGGAGGAGGAGGAGGGGGAGGAGAAGGAGGAGAAGAAGAAGAAGAAGAAGAAAAAGAAGAAGAAGAAGAAGAAGAAGAAGAAGAAGAAGAAGAAGGAAGAGGAGGAGGAGGAGGAGGAGGGGGAGGAGAAGGAGGAGAAGAAGAAGAAGAAGAAGAAGGAGAGGAAAGGATAGGAAGAAGTTAAAGAAGAAGAAGAAGACATTTCTGAAAATATGAATAAAACAAGAGGTAAAGGAGCAATACAAAAATAAGGATCTCAAACAGAGATATATAAAGATAAAGTATTTTAGAAAAAGAGAGGGAGTGTGCCAGAAAAAAGGCTCCGAGTGACAAAAAAAAAAGTGTAGGCAAGAAAGGAGCAGAGATTCATCAATTTCAATGAATTTAATTCCAATCATAAATGGTCATTTCAGTTCCACAGTATTTATGTTCATTGATCTACCGTTTACTAAACTCATACTCACTTCAGATAATCTCTTAATACAAAATTGCTCAGAACAATTCAATCTCCCATAAAGTCTATCACAGTAATCGAGCAAATAACCAATCAATCATTCAGAACAACGTTCTTTCACCCTGTCATGTCATCAACACATTCAACCAATCTACCAGGTCAACCAACCAATCGATCAATCTAGGGTTGCAGTCAACCAACTTTCAATCCATCAGCCAACCAACCGATCTCATGGGGGGGGGGGGGGGGGGGAATGAAAAAAAGAAAGAAAGAAGTAAAAAGAAAAAAAAATCAATTAATTTTGGAAGGTGTACATGCAACACATTTTGTTTTAGTGAAGTATTTGAAAAAATCTTGATGGGATAGGAAATCACTGTCTGGATCCATTTCATTTGTATTCCCCCCATAACGCTACCCACCACAACTTTCACAATTTCAAGTGCATGGTACAGTGTATCCATGGCAAGCTCTAAAACTGTGCTTCTTAAATTCTTCTTTAAAAAAGGGAAAGGGTCACTTTTTGTAAATAAGGAACCTTCACACATTATATGAAAACCATATCATAATGATGGCAACATAAACATAATCAACACGTACACAATACGAAACCAAGGACCATATCATTGATTTGATGGTTTTGCTCTATTTTCTCCTACTGCACATAGAAAATGGAAAGAAGAAAACCCCACAATATTGTCGAAGTCACTTGCTACATTACATAACTAACTACAGCCATACACAGTTTTAAAAGGCACACAAATTGATAAGCGATAATGAAAACAAAATATTACTGAAATAAAAGTAGGGAAGAAAATGACAGACGGTAAGGAAAGGTAGATATGAAATTGCATAAACAAAATGAGAGAAATTAAATAAGGGAAACAATAGAAATGCAAGGATTGACAAAAACCAAACATCAACAACTGCTGCTAGCAAGTCATTGGCAAATAAAGAAAGAAAAACAAAAATAATGGAGAAAGGAGAAAGAGAGAGAAAAAGAGAGAAAGAGAGAGAAAAAGAGAGAAAAAGAGAGAAAGAGAAAGAAAAAGAGAGAAAGAGAGAGAGAGGGAGAGAGAGAGAGAGAGAGGGAAGGTGGGAGGGAGAGAAAGAGAGAGGGAGGGAGAGAAAGAGAGAGAGAGGGAGGAAAAAGGGAGAAAGGGAGAAAGAGAGAGAGAGAGAGAGAGAGAGAGGGGGGGGGGGGGGGGCGGTGGGCAAGAACGCTTTTAAAGTGAGCAAAAATCCTTCACCTAAAAAAAAGGTAACTAAACATTGTATTTATCAAAATTAATTCACCAACGTCCATGCTAAAAATCATTAAACAAAATCCTCATTTTATACCCCAGTCACACGGACAATCCAGACTTCAAACTGAACAAAAGATAACATTGCCGCAAATGACCAAGATTTTGTGAATTTCTGATTAGTTTGGAGATGGTTTGGCAATGTGACTTGGGTGTGGCTTATTAAAACACCTCCTCCCATTGACTGATATTCCTACATCTTAAAATAATAAAGTCTTCCAAGTTGAGCCTAAGTATTCCATCTTCTTGTTGGCATGCTGCTCCATAGTGTGATGGCTTCTGCAAGTTCTGTGGTCATCCAACGATGTTGACAGGTATTTCCTCTCACTCCAAAGACAAGGTGTTGAAAGAATGTTATCCTGATCGTCCGCAGCCATTCATTTTGAAGTTTGTTTCATGGTAAAATACATTCAAGGTATGTGCACAGTGGAACCTTATTATAAAGAGATCCAATATAACTAGGTATCTGTTATAACAAGGTAATTTTGCTGGTCCAAACTCCTTATATATATATTTTTTAAAACCCTGATATAACAAGGTAATTTCCATGGTACCAATTACTTTGTTATAACGAGATTCCACTGTACTACAGCGAAACCTTGTCATAGAAAATTACATTGTTATAAAAAATACAAAGGATTGGGGTTGGCAAAATTACTTTGATGCTACAGGTATGAGTTAAGACAAATTCCTTTATAAGAAGGTTCCACTGTACTTTACAATTCTGGTTCAAAGTGAATGTAGTTGCATTACGTAATAATTCCGCTTATCATGCAGTGAACAGACAAATACATTGTTTCAACAAAAAATAAATAAATTATTATTTCTTCCTATGGATGAATTTTTTTCTTTTAAAATCTGTTAACTAAATTTGTTTTGGAATTGGATAGAAATCCATTGAAAAAGATGTAATTGTCAACAAATTAATATCAAAATATTTTACTCACTTTTTGTCATTGCTTATTCTGCTGGGTGAAAATATTTTGTCGCCGAAAAACAGATCTAAATCACTGGAACATTGTATTTTCATGCTTTTTTTCTTTACAAGATATGTATACTTACCACATAAGTTCCAATGGGGCTCAGCTAGTGTTCAAATGACTTGTCAACAATTAAAATAACATCTGGCGCCATTCTGTGCAATGTGCCCCTCAAGACAGTACATCTTTTACCAATTTATTTCATCAAAAAGGGAAGAAAAAGAAAACTCTGGATATGACGACCAACTAATGGTTTTGATACAGGAAAGTATCATGAGTCAATGGTAATGTCAAGAAACTTTCATTTTTGGATAAAATTAATGGGTAAACGATATATATCATATGAGACACATTGTACAGGATCACCCCTTAGCAGACGTAAGCTTAAACTTAATTAGAACATTTCCTTTACAAAATAAAAAATTCACTTGGCTTTACCCTAAAGCAATTTAAAAATAAAATGTGAAGAGTAACAGGATATTAAATATTGGAAACAAAGAAACAGATACATCACAGATGTAAAAAAAAACTTTTGCTGAATAAAAACCAAAGAATCTTTGGCAAAGAATGCGTTATACAATTAGTGACAAGAAAAGAGCCATTTGTAAATGTCGCAAGCACCTTATTTTTGGTTATTGTCATCTATACAATAATTGCAGTATTTACAAGCAAAGCTTTAGCATTATGAATTCTCAGTGCAGCGAAAGTTCACCAAAATGACATCAAAATATTCCCCTGAATATCTTTCTTTTATTCATTCTCTTCAAAGAAATAAATTGAACCTATACTCCCATCTTCACTTCAGATGACAAAATAAGGACACGTACCTACCAAACACAGATATGACTGTTCTTGTGATTCTCGTGAAAAAAATATTTCCAGCTTACCGTATTTCATTGTGTAACCTTCCAGTTAAAGACTTGTTGTCCTTCTTGAATACAATATACACGAGGGTGCGAAAACTTTCCTCTTGTATTTCCTAACTTTCACCTGGTAATATCTTGTGCTGAAACCTCTTGTGCTTCTACGTAATCTTCTGTTATCTTCTTGCCTTTCCATTTTTAACTTCATCTAGCAACTAGCAAGTATTATCATATCAGAGAAACTTCTGTATACACTTCCACCTTGTACCAGGTTTTCTTCAACTTCTTTCGAGAACTTCATCGTGTACCAGGTTATCTTCAACTTCTTTTGATAACTTCATCTTGTACCAGGTAATCTCCTACTTCTTTTGATAATTCATCTTTAACCTCATGATGTACTGGTAATCTTCAACTTCTGTTGGTAACTTCATCTAACTTCATCTTCAACTTCATAATGAGCCAGATAATCTTCAACTTCTTTTGATAACTTCCTCTTGTATCAGATAATCTTCAACTTCTTTAGATAACTTCATCTTGTACCAGATAATCTTCAACTACTGTTGAGCAATTCACCCTGTTCCAGATAATCTTCAACTACTTTTCAGTTTTATGCCTCACTTCATCTTTTTCCTAATAATCTTCAACTTTTGTTGATAACCTCATCTTGTACCAGATAATCTTCAACTTCTTTAGATAACTTCATCTTGTACCAGATAATCTTCAACTTCTTTTGATAACTTCATCTTGTACCAGATAATCTTCTACTTCTTTTGATAACCTCATCTTGTACCAGATAATCTTCAACTTCTTTAGATAACTTCATCTTGTACCAGATAATCTTCAACTTCTTTTGATAACTTCATCTTGTACCAGATAATCTTCTACTTCTTTTGATAACCTCATCTTGTACCAGATAATCTTCAACTTCTTTAGATAACTTCATCTTGTACCAGATAATCTTCAACTTCTTTTGATAACTTCATCTTGTACCAGATAATCTTCAACTTCTTTTGATAACTTCATCTTGTACCAGATAATCTTCAACTTCTTTTGATAACTTCATCTTGTACCAGATAATCTTCAACTTCTTTTGATAACTTCCTCTTGTACCTCGTAATCTTCAACTTCTTAACTTCATCTTGTACCAGTTAATCTTCAAACTTCTCAACTTCATCTTGTACCACGTAATCTTCAAACTTCTCAACTTCATCTTGTACCACATAATCTTCAACTTCTTAACTTCATCTTGTACCACGTAATCTTCAATTTCTCAACTTCATCTTTTACCAGATAATCTTCAACTTCTTTTGATAACTTCATCTTGAAAGATCTTGAAAAAAATTTGTCTTGATACAGTAGTCCTTGAGAAACTTCTCTTCAGATTTCAATTTTTACAGGCACTCTTTAATAAAAAGTATGTTTTAAATCTTCTTTTCGCATTATCTTGCTTCCAGAGCACTTCTTATGCTGGGGAACTTCTTTTTCATTTCTCCATCAAAAAACTTCTTCTCTTCTCAGAAAACTGTGAAATTCTTCTTGTCTTCATCTTCCCAAAAATACTTTTCTTGATTGATCTTCAATCCTTCTTCAATTCAAAAATTCTTCTTACTTTTTTCTTCTTCTTTCATGACTTGAGGTCACATCAAGTCCTCCCAATCTGAATTTGAAATAAAATATAGAAAAATGTTAGAATTATCCCATTGAAGAAAGTTGTGCTTATAATTTTGGTTTAATTATACTCACACAACAAGCATCAGCTAAAGAATCACTCTATGAAAATTTAAAATTGTATTAGAACATTTGTAACGATACTTTAAATTAAATACACCTACAAATTAAAAATAAAACATTTTGAATGAAAAAATAATGAATGTCAAATGACATACTTTGAAAATGAGTTTGTAATCTGAGATGAAAACTTAATATTCAGAGGAAAATTCAATGGACCAAGTTAACAATTAATTAAAATAATGAAAATGACTGAAACGGTTGAGTTACAAAAGCACAAGACGGATCAAGCTTGCTCAGGCCTGACCACAACGTGGCCGTGGCAGAAACCATTGGTTGCTCTTAGTAGCGACCTAAACGTAAAAGAGAGAGGGGGAGAAAATAAATGGGTAAGGAAAATTGTTAATAACTATGAATCAATATGTGCCTCCCTAAAACAATTTTAATAAAATCATAAGGACAAAGAATCACTCAAAGATAAATAAAAATTGGCAAATGATAGGCAGACTGAAAACAAGGTACAGGTGGAGAGAGAAATCATTTCATGTACGCAATATTTTCTTAAAGTCAAGGCTGAACAGAAATACCTAGTTCATTTAGCTAGGGAATGGATTTTCATATATTTTTCATAAATTTTTCATATATTTTCCATAACACCCAATGGAAATAACTGGTTTCAATAATTGCTTACAAAAAATGTATTTCTCCTATTTACAATCTTGAACCACAGTCCAACAATACAGCCAACACATTATCCAGGTTGGAACTGAATTACAGACAGATATTTACCTATACACACATTACCCTCGAAATTGTGCGGATCAATGACCAATACTTCAACTTTCAAAAGAAAAAGAAACAGCCATTGTTGACCCAAAAAACGAAAAATGCAAAGTGAATGCTAAACTTGTGGAGAAAATAAAAAACAAAAGGAAGCTTCTCCAATCAAATAGGTCAGTCTCTTTTATGAATTGCATTTTGTAAATAATCTTTTTGATTAAGATACATAGACCATGTACCAATCAGTTAGTTGTTCACAAAAAAAATTGGTGCTTTAAATAAATCAGAAACAAAAGGTCTCAATCAAATACTTTCCTTTACTGATTGGAAGAGAATGGTGACAGGTCCTCTTATGAATAAATGAAAGGATTTACTTAAATTAATTGTATATTAAGAAAATGCACATTTTTTGTTTCATACCACTTCCTAGGTCCTTGGTGAATAAATAATAGTCTGTTTAGAGCCAAAAAGGCGTTAACTCTGTGTTACAGTATATGAGTTAATGCCCTTCTTGCTTCAAAGAGACAGTATTATGAAATCATTTCAATTATTTAATTCATCCTAAAGACAAAATTGTTGCCACCACATTTCAATCAGTAAATGACCTAATTTTGTTCTTTAATATGGTTTTATGCTCATCATGCTTTTTAAAACAATATCGGTCTGAAAGAGAACAATTGTCTTCTTCTTTAGAACATGCATGAATGACATTACCTTTCAGTTAATGCACTTTGTAATATATTCCCCCTCTCCTTCCCTTTTTTCCCCCTTTTGTATTGGTGTTCAGGTTTACTCTGCTTTTCTTTTCCTTATTCTCTGTTCTCAACAATACAGGGTATACTTTTTAAGGGGTTGACGTGCATAAGGCTAATTCCCCTTTTTGTTAACCCGAAATTCCCATAAAATTTTGTTTGCCCCCTTCCCTTTGTGTTTTTCTTGTAAATCAATCTTTTATCTGTATATCATGTTTGTATGTTTTAATGTTTTTTATGGAGAATGAAATAAATGAAATGAAATTTGTTTGAAATTATTTTCTTTTTAACCATAGCACCTACTTGGTGAGAAAGAGCGCTCCCTTGGCTCCCGGGGGTAATAGTGGTGTCTCCTGCTGCTGTGGTGGTGGTGGCGGTAGTAGGGGGACGGTGATCGGCGGTAGTAGTGCGGTGAAGGGGTACGCCTGTAGTAAGGGGATGGGGACCGGCGGTAGTAGTGGGGCGAAGGGGAGCGATGGTAACCCCTTGGGTGGTATCCCCGCTCCCCCCGATTGAAGTCGCGCTTGTTACTGTGGATGGAATGAAAGAATAAGATAAAGGTTAGGTACAGCAATGAGATAAAACGCACTGTGGCAAGTCGTTCATTAAGGACTCATCCAACACACAAACAGAAAAAGAAAACAAAAATGAAGTAAACAACAAAATACAAAGAAGTAGATAGAATCTTAGAATCTGAAACAATACTCCAAGCAACAATAGAATCATTTGTTTTGTTCTCATGAACAAAATCATGGAACAAAAATAGTGATTGGACATATTCTGCTGCATCAATATGCCTAGAAATATGTATGGCAGGATTGCTAAAATTGGAAAGAAACAAAGCGAAAGTTTTTCAGTACCTGGTAGGTTTGCCCATGTAGACGCCTGGCGTTGGGGTATGGGCCCTTTCTGTGATGGAAAAATCTACTCGGATGCGGCGTCCGTCGACTTCAGTTCCATTTGTACTTTCACGAGCCTGAATATCAGAAAAGAATATTCACTATCAAAAATAGACAGGGCCCCCGTCTTACGAAGAGTTAATATTTATCGTAATTATGAACATTAGAAATAGGAGACTGCAAACTTGCGATTGATTTAGATCAATTTATAAGAGTGAGCTGAGAGGCATTATTCCATGAAACTGTATACATGTACAGGTAAGTACACTTTTGCTGACTTCCCATGAAATGTGAAATGACTTTTAATATACACATTTTGATAGGATGTTCACAAACCTGTACTAATGCCGGTTTCAAGAATGCTATCAAGTTTATTTATTTATTCAAATCTTGAAACTATGAAAAAGGCAGATACGTATGACGACTTTTTGTATGTAAAGAATCCATCTTGCAAACAGTAGTTGTTGCTATGATAGGCAAGCATCGCACATGCTTCAAAGTTGACAAAATAAATATCACACTGTAAGTTTTGTTTTTATCATGTGAGAATTTACTTTCTGTCATTACTATAAGTCAAAATTACATTTCGCTGCCATTATTCGTGTTTAGTTTAACCATAGATTGCAAGTTTTCTAAATTTTCTATAATCCATTATTTAACTACCGTGAATTGCTTATCATGTTGCCAGGGGGTAGGTGTTCTAGAACCCTTGAATTGAATTGATCCTGTTTATCTGGAAACTTAACCTATACCACATGATTGTTTTTGAGAAATGGAAAAGATTATACTTACTGCGGTTGCATCACCGGTATTTGCAAACATCACAAATGCAAAGCCTCTTGATCTTCCAGTCTGCATGGACAAGAATGGAAGGAGAAAAATGATGACAATAATAAACATAGATTTGCAGAGTGCCTGGGGAAGCCCCAGGTTTGAACACTTTGTTTGCTCTCTTCACCTCTCTAAGCAGTCGCTCATTTGCCACATGTGCAATTTGGCACAAAACAATAGGCACCGATTGATGGAAGGATTGCTTTGTGCAACACAACTGCTTTGCAAAGTTACCCATTTCCGATCTTGATTAGTTCTGTGACAACCTTTTCAGTATAGATTAATCTTGTACTTGAAAGAGTTCAACAATCTTGAAGCCTTAGCTATGATGGTTTGTTGTATCTAATTGCTAAGAAAGCATGTGTATGCTTGTAAGTAAGCAACCGGAGGACCGACGGCTTTAAGTCCTCTCCAAGGGACTTGGTAATGAGGATAAATGCCTTACCAACAGGAACTAGCGCATCGTCTTGGTCATATTTATCCAATGATAAATACAATTTGGCACAAGGAGATTATTTGTGTGTGGTGTTAACTTGGGTAATATTTACTTTTACCATTCCATTTGTACAAAAATTTCATAAATTTCCAATTTTCTCCAAAGATAATATTTCATCACACCCATGTTTAGAAATGTAATTTAACACAGGTTCAAACACTGTATACACATCATCTAAAATCAACAAAACAATGTAGTATAAAACCAAAGGGAAAGCTGTTGACAAGGAAGAGATATCAGAGTTAGTTGCAGATTTGTGATTGACTGATCATAACTTGAAAATCTATTACTGGATTTCCACCTGTTTCATTTTCTTTGATTGAAACCAATGATGTCAGGATGGACTTTGATATTTTCAAAAATATTTGATGTTATTATGTAAAGAACAATGATCATTCTATTGAGTCTTAACACATTTTCTAACTATTTGATTATTAATAAGTGTCAACTTTTCAGAGTTGATTACAGCTTACCTGATGGTCGTAGACAACATTCACGTTGGTCAGAGTGCCATAGTGTTCATATACATCCCTCAAATCCCGTTCTGTAGTATACAGGCTAAGTCCAAACACACCCAGGCATGACGATTCTGTAGGATTTTCCTGTAAAAGAAATTTGTTCTACAAAAGTAAATGGATGAAGAAGACTATGCCATGGAACCTCTAGGTTAACTTACGGTTCACAGATTGCTAGTTCAGGGATCTGTTTCACAAAGCCTTTTGTCAACCTGTTTCACAAAGCCTTTTGCCAATGACAAAAATCAGTGACAAATCTGCTGATAACCAATCAGAAGCAAGGATTTCACTAGCTTAACAAAAACTGTGATTTGTCACTGATGACAAGTTTTGTGAAATGGGGCTCATATGTGAAAGGGGCGACAGAGCACTGGTCATATCCAGGGTTCCCACAGAAATATGAGAACTAACTTCCATGACTTTAAATGATTTTCCAAGACCCAGTTTACCCTTTCCATGGCCAGATTAAGTTCCATTTTGGTATGGCTTGCACCATCCAAGTGGCATACTAATATCACCCCCATAGTCAGTTCAAACTGGAAGGTTGCTATGGCCACAGATGGCCCACGCCCATGATCAATTTCCATGACCATGACCATGGGAGCCATGTAATCGTTGATATTTATAAGTGGAAACAGAGTCTTGCCTTGTTCCCTATCCTCTCTCCCATTTTCTCTCTTTATAAATGTCAGACAACTGTAATAGAGCAATAGACAGTTTCGATTAGGAGTAGCACGTCCTCTCACATATTCAAAATTACCAGGCAAGGCTTTAACATTAATACATTTGGCAGATGTAACTTTGATGCACAAATGGAATTACAGGACCACAATCAGTATTTTTTTCATTCACACTTCCTTCACTATCAGATCTGGGGGGTGTTTCACAAAGACTAAGTCTAAGATCGACTTAAATTTGGCCTTAACTATGGCAGGCCATTCATGCCACCGATTGCTCTCACCTGTAATGATCTTAATATAATATTTTTTCCTTCAATAATGAATTATCAAAAAGTGTATATTCTGTAGATTTGTGACCATGATTTGTCCGTCCCTTGAGAGACAAATGCCCGTAAATAATGAGAGCAGACAGTGGCATGAACAGCCTGCCATAGTTAAGTCCAACTTAAAGTCGATCTTATTCTTTGTGAAACACCCCCCAGATCTAATATGTAGGCAAGATGGTTACTATTAGTCAAAAGGAATGTCTGTGTGTGTTTACTCACCCTGTCACCATGGTGACGACGTCGGTCAGACATGGGAGAGCGACTGTGACTTCGACCTTCCCTGTAACGTCTGAAAGATATCAAATATAAACAAAATAAATAAAAACATATCTCACATGTTCACAAATTCTTGAAAGATTTTCTGAGTAAAAAGAGATTAGAGATTAGTAAGCACTTGGCTGTTATCAGGGCCCCATTTCACAAAACTTGTCATAAGTGACAAATGACAGTTTTTGTTATAAGCTAGTGAAATCCTAGCTTCTGATTGGTTATCAGTACATTTGTCACTGATTTTTGTCATTTGTCATTGAAAAAAGGCTTTGTGAAACAGGTCCCTAGTTTCAAAACTTTCCACTAAGTATTCTTGATGCTCATACCAAATACCCCCTCCCCCTTTTGACACACCCAAAGTCCATACTTTCCAAAGTAGAATATGCATTAAAATTGCTGTGTCATCGAAATGGTCAGAGAACCGTATCCCATTCCCAGTATCGTCAAGAACTTACGAGGATCTATGTCGACTTCCATGACTGCGAGATCGGTGCTTTCTTCGCCTTGACCTTGAGTATGACCTCGACCTTGACCTTGACCGATAAGATCTGCTCTTATGCTTGCTAGTGGATCGAGACCTGGATCTGCCTATCGCCTTGTCGGCTGTTTTCTGGACTGTCGGTTTGACTTCTTCTTCATCGGCAAGGACGGAATCAGTCACCTGTGCCTCCTGAGTGGGAAAATTAAAATAAAGAGAGACAGAAGGAGAGAAATAATTGTTTATTTCTTGTGGATCTACTAATCATGTCACCAAATTAATAATTATAGACCCTAGTCTACTCGTTTCCGTTTCAAGCATGGTTACTTATCTTCCACGCGTGCGTGAAGTTAGCGACAAGTTAGCGACTGTAATCTTAGATCCTTATTAAGTTGATCTAAGCAATTCATCATTATGGTCGCTAACTTCACACATGCGCCCTTTACGATTCGACCACCTTTGAGAATTATGGGACTAACCTGCTCTTTCATGACACCTCATTTGTTGTGCATCGCCTTCAGGATCACAAAAATAAAGGTTTGAATCTCAATTTGGTGATAAAAAATGGACCGATTTTGCATGACCGCGCAATACAAGTACACTGCATAGGGATGTGTGCAATGTCTACGGGAAGGGTTTTAGCACACAAAACCAGGTACGCGATCAGACACCCTACAGTACAGGTAATGGAAACATAACCACTTTTATTTTATTAATCGTGACCATTATTTATTTGAACAATTATGAAGATTTAGGGCCTATATAATATGTTACCTTTTATTTTAGTAAGGTATCTCCACGCAACTAGTATGGATATGATTCTGAATTAGCGTCCATAATTGTAATTAGGCCTAGATCTACTACCTCTTTACATTTCTAAAAAAATGTGACCCAACCCGCTGTTTGAATCGTTTTCATGTGCGGGCTCCGGAGCTCCCACGTCGCCACGCCTTGGGCGTCGGGGGGTCGGAGCTGAACCGCCTGGAGTTAGTTCATGCCATGCCCATGGCATGATTTGATATTACAATTCAGTTAGACTTGATCTTACTCAGAGCAGAGCGAAAAAAACTTTACGAAAGAGTCTTAAAACGGACGAAAAGCAATACTCACAAAATCCTCTTGCTCTGGATTACCGATATCACTCATTTTCAAGGATTCTTCGCTCCTAGGCTGAGACCTAAGTTGTTTTGCCAACGTAAAAGTCCGAAGATAGTATAGCTCATATATTGGACGGGGTCTCATGGACGGGCCGTGCGTCAATGACAATGCAGCGATATTCGAAGCAGGTGCGCAGATTCAGCTTTTCAGCTGCGCTATTGTATCCATCAGCCTTCCCAGCTAGCTAGGCTATCACGCGCACGTTCCATCTAGGCAATCTAGCATAACTAGCACCCCGGAGCTACGGCCAGGCGAGCGTGCAACACCAGTCACAATGTGAACTTGGTGCTAGAGCTAGCTGTGCAGTGTATTCCTGTAGAACCTAGGCAAGTAAAGTGACAAGTCTATACCGGTAAGCTAATAAATGATAGTTAAAACATGAAAATTGTTCAAATATTAAATGTAGATCTAGGGTATTGGGGGATGCAGATCTGGGAGTTTTTTTGGTACTGAGCAATTGACTTGGTCATTTGCATTTTCTTTAAATGTGATTAAAATAAAATATGGATTGAGCTTGTAAATTTCTAGACAGAAATTATCGTCTGGTATGGGTCATTTCTTTAATTAAACTGACATTTGTTGACATATGTATAGAGGCGGTCAGAAGAGCCAGATGCAATCTCAGCGGAACAACCGTCGATATCAGTTCAGAGACTGAAGCTTTTGGACTAGTAAATTTGATGATTTATTTCCAACAATAACAAAAGTATTTTGTTTTAATCTTCACACAGCATTTAGTCATCACTTCACTTTGTGGCGAAGGTTATTATCAGATTCAATGCCCTGCTTGCGTTGACCTTTTTGCAGTTTGGAGATCTGTGGAACGTAGACTTGTTGAACAACCAGATAAAAAGATGGGAGAGGATGATGATGAAGATGACGTCTTCTTTACCGAAGAGGATTATGAGATGTTCTCTTTGAGCAGAACACACAACGTTCGAGCCCGTCGTCATGAAGAAACCAAAGCTTCAAAAAATTGGTAAGTATCAGAACTATCTCTAACAGTTTAACAGGATAAAATTGTCATCTATCATCATTCAAAGCATGCAGTAAGCCAGTAACGGTGGTAGAGGGGGGAGGTTAGGGGGGGGGGGGGGGGCTTACAGGCTCAAGGACAAGGTACCCCCCCTCCCCCCCCCCCCCCCCCCCACAAAAAAAAATAAAAAAATGAAGAAATGAAATCTTCAAGCTCTCCCAACATATTTTGGTGTTTCTAAATCTAAATGGACAAGGTAAATGGACAAATTACCCTCCCCCCACACAAAAAGTACAATAAATAAATATTTAAAAAATGAAGAAATACAAATCTTCAAGCTCTTCCAACATTTGTGGGTACTTATAAATCTGAATGGATTTAAGTGAGGCACAATAAGAAAGTGAAGGGATGATCGAACCCCAAGCTGCAGTGTAAACAATGATTTTCTTTTTGTGGGCGCTCTTTTATGATTTGGTGTTGCATTTAAGTGAGACATTCCCACAGTGATATTACTGCTTTTGACTATTTTTTTACCAGAGCACTTTTAGAGCTTTCATTTGTTTGAAGTTACACCCTTTTCTTTCACTCTTTTCTTTCATTTTTTGTTGTTGAATTACTAGTTCACATATATATGTTTTACTCTGTTATCAATATATAATAATAATAATAATAATAATAATTACAGTGCTTATATAGCACCTAACACTTACTTTGTCAGAAGTCTCTAAGCGCTCTACAATAATGCAGCATAATTACCCGGGCTTTAACAGTGCAGCTGTTATGCGTGCTGCGTTTCAAGGAATAAATTCCTACCAGGTACCCATTTACTTCACCTGGGTGGAGTGTGGCAAATGTAGATCAATGTCTTGTTAACTTTTTTTAAAAATTAAAAAATTGTACATATTGGAAGAAATAAATGAGAGTTATATGCTCTCTCTCAATCAATATGATTTTTAACAAAAAGATTCTAAACTTAATGATTTTTAGGCGGGATGTGGTTGCCAAAGAGAAGGAGAAGAAGCAGCCTAAGAAACAACCCAAACAGGCGAAGATCACCAACCCTCCCAAGGAACCTATCACGCAACAACAGAACCCACCTTCAGCAGCTGCACCCAACCTCAGCTCCAAGAAGCCACCTCAAGCAGCTGCACCCGACAACCTCAGCTCCACCAAGAAGCCAAAGCCCAAGGTCGCAGGGAACGTGTACAGTCTTCTCTCGCCGGACCCAAAGGTCAGGTACCCCACCTTCTCTCGCTTGACGCTCGCACAGCACAAGAAGTTCCTGGAACTCCAAGCCAAGTATGGGTCAAAGGGCGCCAGGGTCACGACCTCCAAGCAGTCGGCAGAACATCAGCAGTGGAGGGTAAGAGCACCTCAGTATCGCAGGGTGGACTTAGGGTTAGGGCTTTTTGTAACTTGTGCATCATTGCACCAAATTTATGTGCAGCAATTGTTTGTAAAATAAGTCAGTGAAAAGGCTTTTGTAACAGTATGGTTATTATATAGAATGATGAACCAGAAATCTTCAATCGAAAATTCATTTTCTTTTTAATGAAAAAACCCATAATATATGATGTATACTAGATATTCTGTATATGACACTTTTCTTGCAAAATGTCCTTTACTTCATCATAAAGGACACTTTAATATCAATTTCTTCTTGCTAGCAACTTGGAGCCCAGATATACCAAGATCAACAAGACTTCAACTCATTTGCAGAGTACATAGCTAAAAACCAGCCAGAAAGTTACATCTCTTTGCCAACTGGAGCTGTGAAATACCTCAAGGTAATCAACATTTCTTTTAACATTTAATATTTCTTTCATTATAGTTCATTGATAGAATAATGTTCACAAATCTAGTCTGAAATTGAGCTGGGCATTAGTTTGACAGCCCTGCTACCCACAGTCCCGTAATGATTAACTTTAATTGGAGATCTATGTTTTTATCAAATGATGTTTGGAAAGAGTGGGGTGTTGATGAAGGATCCAAGTTTTGAAAATACAATCCCAAACTCATCTACTATAAAGTATTCACTGTTCACCTCGCCCTTCCGAAAGATGTGACTTGAGATCAAATTTTGGGTCGTGTATAGTGGTAGACAAAAGATTCGACCACTAGGTATTTAGTCCAAAGTCCCATCTTTGGTATCAGTGCCTAGATTACGACAATATTTAGATATTTAATGTCTGAACCTATCTCATTCCTACTTAGTAAAAGGCCCTTGTTAATAATAATAATAATGATAATAGCTAGAACTTCTTATATAGCGCTTTCCAGGACCAAAGGCCCTCTCAAAGCACTTTACAGAGATTACCCCGGTCATCGGATTAATTTTGATAATATGTATCATATCTTGTCATATCATATCAGTGATTTTTAAAGGCTGTGATATGCATTTACCATATAGAGAGTATACTACATATATGCCTACTGTTAGTAACCTTATCAATATGATTTGATGTTTACATAGACACATTTGACTTTAAACACGTAGACCCCAATCCACAATATTCAATATTTAACGGCTAAATTATTTTTCACTTGTGCTTTCAAAGGATTCATTGAAGAGAAATCTGGAAAGAGTGGAATCCCTTCCTCGGCACTACGCAGTTCTGCAGACTGTCACTCTTAACCCAGGAGTACCGTTACCGTCGGATCCCACACTTCAGAGAATAGGATCACCAGTCTTTGTGGTAAGCACGTATTACAGGGGTTTGCTATAAGCAATGCATTTCAAAACAGAGGATGGGTTAGAGCATGGGTTGCGATAGGGTTTTACATTTGGTTCTTGGCCCTGTTTCTTTAACATATTATTAATAACAAGTTACAATAGCAGTTATAAGCTACTGAAAACTTGGCATTTGATTGGCTGAGGGCGATTTTCTCATAGAAATTTAGCATTTGTTATTGATAACAATTAAGTTTGATAACACAGGGCCCTGGCTAGTGTAAATGTTCTGAATGATTATGGGTCAAGGGTTAAAGCTAGGAATTGACAACTATTCAAAATTGACCATTGTGCCATTGTTTGCCATAGCAGAATTATTTATAGATTAATATTTATAGATTATTGCCTTGCCAAGAGACATAAGTGCCATGTTTTGGGTTCTCCTCAATTTTCATAAATCTATCCTCGATATGCTAGCTGACAGGATTTGTGTAATTCTCTCTAAGATCTGTCTACCGGTATTAAAAAAAACACCCAATGGGTTCGACCTGATCCCCTTCAAACTTTTTTCACACATTTTTAATGAGATAAATTTTTAAGAATGAACTCTGTTAGACCATTGGTACAAAGGTAATTGAATTTCACTTTCTGTGCTGGGACATCAAAAAAAAAAAGTATTTCAAATTCAGATTGCTATGCATTCCCCTTTCCAAAGACATCAATACCATAAAGCCCTATTGTTGAAATTTAAAGTTGGTTTTCAATTTGGGTCAAAATTATAAATGAGACAAGATTGCTAGCTACTATCTTACCATCAGCATCATTTTGAACCATTTGGCTTCTTATTTTTTCAGGGAAAGCCTACAGAATTGGTCGTCCCACCACTGGAAGATCGGAAGGTGATTTTGAAAACATTGGGAACTGAAGGCGAAAATCTATCAGAAGTGCAAGAAGATGTAAGTATAGTTAAAGTTGCTTCAGTATTAAACCGCTTGTATAGAAAGAACCCCTATCTTTGGGCCGCTCTGGGAAAGCGCAGTATATATAAATAATAATAATAATGATAATAATATTAATATCTATAGAGACCATATTTCGTTTCCTTTAAATTGTACTTCTCACTGAAATACTGTTAACCCTTTCAGGACAGGATTTTTTTAAAGGGCTAATATTCAAATTGGCAACAGTAATATCTTTCTTTTCTTAAAATAAAATGTGATATCTCAGAAAACAATATACACTTCATTTCTATTGCTGATTAACTTTGTATAATTACGGTATATTTGTAGACATGTTTCCATTTTGTGTGTGTTCTCTGTTTTCTTTATTGTATATAATCTGTATCTTATGTATGTGTTTTTTTGTGGATTTGAATTGAAATAAAACTTGAAACTTGAAACATGGTCCTGAATGTTTTAGAAAAGTTAAAAAAAGATGTATTATTATTTATGCTATTTTGTTTCCTTATACCTGTAGGTGACCAACCAGAATAACTGCCAGAAACTCGCAGAGGTGTACAAGGCAGACATTGTTGTCTCTGCCGGCAGCTTCTTCACCCTCGTGAACAACCATGCACCCCTCTATGAGCATCAATGGGAGATTCCATTAGAGGTCAAAGGTGAACTTGATACCACTTTTTTCTGATAGAATCAAACCTGCTTTAGTGACCACCTGTCTACAAAGTCCACATTTGTTCTTTCCCTTGAAAACGGTTTCTCATTGAATCATGTACTAAAGGAACCTGTCTACAAAGTCTCATAACTGCATGTAGAAATAAAAGCCCCCATCCCCTCGCTCTCTTGTTTATTAAATTATCATGGTTCCTTGTTAACCAACTTTAACCCTTTGAAGCATATTAAAAGCCCACAATAACCCATGATTTATCCATTTGGAATTGCATTTCAAGTGAAATTTAAGTCCAACATGGGACTGATATATGTAAATAATGCAGAATTTTAGGGCAATTTATTACATTTCTGTGAGATGGCATATTAGACATATTTACTTGATTTTCTGGAACTTACGGAGAGGAAATTACTTTGTACAGACTGAATCTTATATTTAACATTTTTAGTGCATGACTTCGTTGACTTCTGTTTGATACCTTTTTTGTCTTTGTATGATTTCTTTCATCTTCTTCAGAGAGGCCCACAGGGAAGGTGGCATTTATCGAAGAGCCATTGATGAGACATCTGTATTACCCGCACGATGCAAGTGGTCTCTACCACAACCTGGTACTGAAGCAGATGCTGGCAACTGGAGGCAACGAGAAGTACTGCAAGACGTCAGACAGGACAGAAGAAGATGTCCTTGAGGGCATAATGCATGAAAAACTGGATACCACACTTCCGGAGGAGCCTGAAACGGAAGAGGATGTGGATGAGTTTGGCTCTATGTCCTTGACTGACCTAGAGACCTTTGGGAGTGACCTTCGAAGTCCTACGTCCAAGGCACCAGAGAAGGAAGAGAGAACGGAGGAGTCGAAAGTGGAACTTGGAGTGGAGTGTGAAGGAAAGGAGTCCTCAAATGTTGTGAAGGTTGAAAGCAGTCCCATGGTGATTTCTGAACAGACTCCAGCCGATGGTACTGATCTAGTGGATCATGGAAAGTCCTTGAGTGGTGATGATGTTAAGATGGAGTGTCTAGATGACACTAAATCAAGTAATAGTGGAAATATTAGTTTAGATAGAAGCCTTTCATCCGAGGACACCATTCAGGCATCCCTTGACTCTTCAGCACAAAATCAGAACAACAGTGGTGATGAGAAGGAAGCGCTGATATTGGCAGCAGCTTCAAAGAGGAAAGTTGTCAAGGTTGTTGTTCCCAGGAGGTCAACAAGTATTGATGATGATACTGCTTTGGAAACAGATCAGGCATGTGTTGCTCAGTCACAAGAGTTACAGGGTGTGGAAGACACCAAAGATAAATTAGACATTACCATGGAGGATGGAGATGAAGAAAATATAAGTACTGTTCAGGAAAGTCAGCACAAACCTGATGTGAGGCTAATGAGCGATAGCAGCGACGATGGTCATAATTTAGTCATCATGATGGAGTCCGATGCAGGGAGCAGCCCATCCTCAACAAGAGACGGGCCATCCTCAACAGGGCCCGAGATAACAGGTAAATCTGCGGAGGAAACCACTTTGCAGATAAGGGACAAGGAACAAGAAGACATGGTAAAGGAAGAAGTGATTGTAGGGGGTGATCAAAGACAGGTTGATGTAAAACCAGAGCTAGAAGATGTGGGCAAGGCAAAAGTAGTAGAACACATTGCTAAGGATGAACAGACAAACAGGAAACCTGATGAAGAAGTGCCTGATGGAAGGATAGCTACAAGGAGAAGTTCTCGTATCAGGAAGCAAAGTTCCAGCGATGGGAACACTAGTGCTGGACAAGTGGAAGAAGTGCCAGTTAAAAAAAAGAGGGGAAGGCCCAGGAAACAACCGGGCAAGGAGGAGCAGTCGGCCTCGACTGAAGTAAACAAAGGTAGGAAAGACAATGATGAGAATCCAGTCACAGAACACAAGATATCCCCAAAAAGTTTGGCTTGTGGACAGGTTGAAAAGGGAAAAGACTATGGGACTGTGAGGAGTCTAAGAATCAGAAGTAGAAAAGACAATTCTGCAGACAGTGGGAAAAGTTTTGACCAAAATAAGGATGGTGCTGTTGTGTCAAAGAGGCAGGAAACCACTGTAGTGAGTACAGAAGATGGTGCTAATTCTAAGGTAGCCATGAAGAGAAAAGGGACACCAAAGAAAGGTTCATCTGCAAGGTCAAGCACACCCAGGAAGCCAGGAAATAAAGACCAAGGTGAGAAGAACAAAGCAGAGTCGACCATTGATGAAATCATGCGGCTCCAGGAGAAAATGCTCACCAGACAGAAGTCAAATGGTCAACAACAACACTCTCAAGGTCAACCTCAAAGTCATGGCTCTCAAGGTCAACCTCAAAGTCATGGCACTCAAAGTCACGAACAAGGTCATCAAGGAAGTCATGAAGCCATTGGTGCCGAAGAGACGCAACAAGCTGTGACAGGTTTCTTGCCTGAAGGTGTGGACTTGGAGCCTCCGATTGAAGGAAGCTGGGCCTATAGCCTCTGGAAGTTTGGCAGATTACGACTCCTTACACAAAGCAAATGTCCTGGCACATTACAGGTAGGAATGAGGATACTAAAAGAGATAACTTGATTGATCATTGTTCAAATGTGATGAAGGGCAACTTTATCATCAAATTGTTTGGGGACAGAACTTTCAACAAAAAAATGAAGATCAAAGTTGTGACAAATATATATAATGTCCTTTAGGAAGTAATTAATCTATATTTGCCTCTCTATATCCATGAGAGAAATGGTGACCTGGTAGGATGACGAAAGCCTTTGTGTTATTAATTGCCATATGCACTCACGGTGACCATATATAATAGGAATACTCCCTGGGGAATAGAGATGGTGCACATTGTGCGAGAATCAATCCAATGACGTGGAAATAATATCTGTAAAGCCCTTAGAAATGGAATTTCGTATTACGCGCTATATGAATCCAGAGTATTATAATTATTTGTTTTGGATGAAAGCTGAACCCCAGCCTTGAGCACAAAAAAAAGGCATTTACTTTTTCTTGGTCATACAAGTAACATACAAGTTTGCACAAAACATATTTAATTTACTGCCATTACAAACAATCCTCTTATGCTATTCTCTTTTGCAGGGTGAGGTTGTGAGTGTGGGTGAGAAGATGGAGTATCAGTCGGGTCTTGGCCTAGAGATGCAAACAGCCAGTGACCTGACTAGGATGTGGCTCAACCTCTCCCTTAACCCAGGTTCAAAGTTCCTCAGAGGTTCGTATTGTAATGAGCTTTGGAGTCGTTGTCATGAATGTGTACAGTGGCACGTAATGTCACTAGTAAGGCTCGTTCAGACATGACGCAGTAGACTACCACCCAAAAAAAAAATGTGGCATTTTTTTATTTGGGTAAATGAAAGGCAATTACTTGCAACAAAGATCCTTCATTTATTCCTTTTAATAGCTGTGTGTCATAAGATACAGAGATCCAAAGCATACAACATTTTACGACGTAAATTTTAAAAGTGCTGTGGTTTACAACTTCATATTTGAACGAGGCTTCACAGGCATCTTGCTAATGATAACTTAGCATTCAGAATACCATGCAAGGAAGGTATGAACATGGAGTGACACGCAATCGGAGAGAGAGAGAGTGAAAGGAAGGGGGATAAGTACATATAAAGGGAAAGAGAAAGAGAGCGAGAGGAAATGAGATACATGTACATACATAAAATGGGAGAGAGAGAGGGGAAGAGTGATACATGCATATGAAGGGAGAGAGAGAGAGAGAGAGAGAGAGTGTGTGAGTGAGTGAGTGAGTGAGAGATGGGACAAACAGATACATATGAAGAGCAGAAGAACGGTAGATGGTAGAGTTGAAAATCAATTAAATAACCCTAAACCAATCCAAACATGCATTTAGAAGTAGCTACAAGGAACAACCGGTAAATTTCCCCTTCATTCTTTCCATTTATGTATTCAATCATCGACAGGAAGAATAGATTCCAGAACATCAGAAATCCTAAGCTGGGAATGCCTAGATGGCTCAACCATGGGTCAGCCACAACAAACATTCAGGTGAGTACACTGAAACAAAGTACACACTTTAAGGCATGGATTCACAAAGACAGTTTTAACCCTACCATGTGTGTGTTAGTTGGGTTTTTACAGACATTTATCAATTAGTTTGTAGGGTAAGGCACAGAGCTGACCAAGTGAACGTACCACTATCTCCCATGGTTTAAACCATCAATTTATGATGTGTTCTTAAAATGGAAAAAAAATTACATGCAAAAATATAGATTGAATGTTTTGTTTTTGTCTTTGTCTTTATTTAAAAATTAAAGAACAGGCATTTTCTACAAATTACGAATGTGCAAACTTTTCACCAAATATAAGGTTTGTTTCTTGATAAGGGTATTACATGCTCTGTGCTATGATATTCATCTTATGTGTTCCATTTGTCTTTCATTCTCCTTCAATTTCTCTGATATATATATAGCCCCGGTATGTGCATGAAGGTACTGTATCTAATCCTTGGCAAGTTAGCGGCTTTATCCGAGGGCAGATACCTGCTGAGGCACAGACCTGGAGACGCTCATATCTGCATCTACCAGTGCGTGGACCCAATCGCCAAGAATGTACGGTAAGTACACATATCATTTGCTGATTGGGGGGTTATTATGAAATGCCTGTGTCCCGCTTTGTTGAGACTCGGACCTGAAGATGTTCATAGCTGTGTCTTCAGTGCATTGGCCCAGCAGCCAAGAATGTCAGGTATTAGTACATTGTAGCACAGGTGAATTGCAGGTTATCGCAAGACAGCCTTTGCCCCCCCCCCCCCTGTCAAAATAAGACAGAACAAATCCCAAAACATACAGAGAAAAACGGCATCAATGAAATAACAAAAACTGTGCAATATAATGGATGAAATACCACCCATTATCAATACCGCTCTGTAATATCTTTGGCGTTATTATGAAACGACAAGTCCTTACAGTAATAGATATGATGGATTGTCTCTTCATAACGCCTACGATATGACAGGTTAATCAGTGTAGTCACATTCTCCAATGATATTGTCTAAGAATCCTTTGGGAGATCTTCCTTTTATCATCTTTCCATGTAGACAGCCTTGTGTTACTGTGATCACGAAGCCACCATGTTGCATTATTCAAACACCCATCACTGTTATTAATTTGAGATAATGTTGAACTGGAATTTGTTTTTCCTTAAATTATAAATGTATTGTTGATGCATCTTTTCTCACCCTTCTACAGGGTACTTGACAAAATTTTACTCTTATGCTCCGATTCCCTTGTATGTATCTGTAATTCCCACTACCATGGGTCTGTATTTTCTCTTTATCAGGGCACCGTATGACCTTCATGCAGCTCATAAAGCCAGTCAGCTGATGACATCACTTCCTCCCACAATCCCCTGGGTACCTCTGGATCCCAGTGCCCCGTATCGTAGCAACAGATGGAGGGGCTGTGTCCCTCTCACCTTCCCGCCTTCTCCTCAAAACTTCAAGCATCGTAAGTTGCATCACATTTCTTTTGCCCTCTTCTTCAAAGTGTGTCTAAGGGGTTGAGTTTGCACGATAAAAGTACACTTAGGACACAGCCCTCTCAAAAAAATTTGTTCTTGAGTCCCATTTTATTGCATGTACCTTCCTGCCCTCCCCTCTAAACCAAAGTGCCTCGATACAAATAATTCACCTGTAACAAATAATTTTATATCAGTAGTCAGAATGTAAATTGCATGTATTACGTGTTGTTAGGTAGGGCAAGCCATAATGTTAGTCCTGCATAGCAACAACTAATGTATGCAATCCGAATTCTGACTATTGAGATATATTTATTGGTAAGAGCAAAGTATCGTATCGAGGCGCTTCACAAGGCATATATGCATAAACTTGGTTACATTATGAAATTTGCCTATTGTCTGCAAAGTGTACAATGGATTTTTAAAAATAAAAAAAAACAATCATTCATTGTTTTTAATATTTTTCTTCTTTGGCAGCATCAACCCAGCATGGTGGCAAACACAGAAAGAAGAATAAGAAGAAGAAAAGATGAACCCAGGGGAACTGCCTGCATATCAGTACTAAACTATATCCTCTTGCTGTGTAGATATATGTTGTAGTGGTGTGGTTTAAGCACTTGACATGAAATGCAAAGGTCATGGGTTCAATCCCAGACACAGCACTAATGTCTTTTGGCAAGGCATTGATCAACATTTGCCACTCCATACCCAGGAGAGGAATGGTGACCTGGTAGGCTGACGAAAGCCTTTGTTATAGTGATTGCTATATGCCCTCACGGTGACCATGTGGTAGGAATACTCTCAGGGAGTGGAGATGGTGCACATTGTGCGATAATGAATCTGATGATTCGTGTTGATTTGTATTAAGCACAATATAAATTCAGATTATTATGTTGGATTTGATGTGTTATTAGGATTGCTGGTCCTAAGCAAGAAGCCTGAAGGTACACAATGGAGCAGGGCCCTGTTTCATAAAACTTGTTATTTAGAACAAGATACAATAATTGTTATAAGCTACTGAAATCCTTGCATTTGATTGGCTGTAAGCAGATTAGTCATAGATTTGTGTCAGTTGTTATTGATAACAAGATTTATGAAACAGGACCTAGGAATGACTCAAATGAAGTGTCATGAAGATTTACTTCTGTCCTGGAGGTTGTTTCACAAAGCCTTTTTTCAATGACAAATGACAAATATCAGTGACAAATCTGCTGACAACCAATCAGAAGCAAGGATTTCAGTAGCTTATAACAAAAACTGTCACTGATGACAAGTTTTGGGAAAAGGGGCCCAGGTTGTGGCCACCTGGTGCACACAATCACATAGATCTGCCACATGTACGTCTTGGAATGGTTACAAAGGCCAGCTACAGTTGGATGTGGTCTCCCACGAGCCCTAAAGAGGTCATTTGATATTGCTAGATATGGTTGGTTTTGTTCATCTACCTGTACGTCTTTAAAAGACATACCGTATTTAAAGCTCTCCATTATTGTTACTTACATGTATAACTTTATACACGTATGAACGATATTCATAATGAACTGTCCTAGAAAGATTGAACTCATATGGATTTAATAAAGAATGGCCCTATTTGAGTATTAAAAGAAGATGCATTTTTGATAAAGACTTCAGTTACCGGTATTATCCTTGGGTTTTATTTCATCCAAGTGTACTTAACATTTGAATTCAACAATCGTTGACAAAAATCAAATTCCTTTCCAAATAGGTAAAGGTAAAGGAACCTTTATTAGCACGAGTGCTGAAGTTTATCTTGATTTTGTCTTCATGTGTAATGGGAAATTATTCAAATCATGCAGCTGATCTAAGGTTTATTTCGAAATTCATTACAATTTTTAGTTGTGGTATGCCAATTTCAATATGTTTGTACATGTTATTACCACCTGCATGTACCTCTATGGATTGAACGAGCAGATGCAGATAATATGTGATCATGTTACAAAAAACATGTTTTTAATTGTTTTATCTAGACCAGTGTATGTGATTTGGTATTATGATTTATGTTGTATACAATCATGCATTATGGTGCAAGTTTTCAAGACAAAGTCTGACACAAATAAACTCACAAATACTGAAAGTGTATCATTTTGTCCATTTATTTTCTCCTTTCCAATTTCCAAAATTATACATATTATATAACATCCTTCATATAGTACTATGATTTACACATCTTTTAGATTCATCATTCATGATGTATTTCAATACAACTGGAATCCCAGTTAAGGGCATAGACACAATAATGCATTGATTCAACAGTAGACAATTAAAATGAAACGATTTGAATATCAGAATTAATCACATGTTACATGGACATATTATTCTATAATTTACTGATCATATAGACTAGTTAACACACGCTTAAATGCATTCACATAGATAAGGGCTCGCACAGAACCCAAATCCTACTTACGTTTCATGCAAGCCCCATACACAGGGTTTAACTTCTTACATATATAGAATACAAAGGCCTTGTGAACAGCATAAAAATCTGTGTTTTTATTCTATTACTTTATCGCATGACAGTTTTAGAAAATTTAACTTTTTCACAAAATTTTCTAGTTTTATGCACACATATCTGTTTTTTGGTTCGACAATTCTTTAAGCACTAGTCTCAAACAAATTAAATAAACAATTAATGCACATGTGGTAAGCAAGATTACATATAAAATTAATATATGATACAATAGATATATTACACAGATTTTCCAAAGTTGTAATGAATCACTTCATTAAAGTATATTATGAAAGCCAATGTACAGTTTTGATAGCATAAAGAAATTTGGAACGATGTGTTGTCTTACATTGTCCTACATTGTACTTGTATCAAAAGATAAATGTGAAAGGTATTTTGATGCTTTATCAATGATCTCTGATGAACTTTGTGTAAATAGCTGAAAAGAACACCAGGGGGGGGGGGGGTGTTTCAGAAAGATTCCAAGTTGAACTTAACTCTAAGTTGGACTTAAATATTATGGAGAGCCATTTGTAGCCTTATAATGGAATACATTCAAAAGTAAATTTGAAATATTTTAGACTTTTCATAAATTCCACATCAGGAGCATGAAATCTCCTTGATAATAAAAAATATGAATGATTTGAATCAACATTTTATGCCTTTCAAAATAACTTTAAAAAAAAATATTTTCAAAGATACCAATGGCTTTCCATAATTGTTAAGTCCAACTTAAAGATAGGTTCAACTTAGGATCTTTGTGAAACCCGTACCAGGACCATGTTTAATAAAAAAAAAAATTACAAATGCTAGAATTCTATGACAAATTAGCTCTCAGACCATCAGATGCCACAATTTCATTACCTTATAACAGTTATTGTTTTTATGAAATAGAGCCCAGATCATGGCTACATAGTAGTGCTCTATGCTAGGATACTTCTACCCCAACAGCTCCCCACACAGCAACCTCAACGTTTTGCATGGTGTATTTCAATACAAAAGCAGAAACGTAGACCTTGTAGGTTTTTATACACGTGTCTGAAGCAAACTGCTGCTGCTGGATTTGATGTGCCGGGTCAGACATTTAAATTGTTTGTAACCTCTCATTTGTTTCATATTCCATTAGACGAGGAAAAAAAAACGTTCCAGCAGCTTTGTACAACTAATATCTTGTTGTTCATCATCTAAAAATCAAAGATATCTACATTTTCGTTTGTGGGCTTACCAAAACTTTACATGACCTTATACACCTGTAGTGAATGAAGAAAAAAAAATAAGCACACAAATGATCGTGAAGGAAAGGAGTTGATAAAAGGCACCATTGTTAATGTTATATTCTATTTTATCTAACTGATCATCCCATTAATTGAAACAAATCTTGCACACACAGAATTTCCACATCCCCTTTGCACAAATAATTCTTTTAGCTTTACATTTTACAATTCTACAGTCACAATTAACTGACTGATCCACCAATAAGACCACAAATACATGTACTTAAATGTAACATGACCTACACATGCAGATCCTAATGAACGGATAAGTGACAAGGCATTCAGATTTCCTAACACATAACCAGTCATTAGAAAGTAATTACATGTACGGTCAATAGAAAAGGCTAATGACAGGTCAGTTTAATAATTATCTAATCCCATCGGTCGACTCTAGGGCTATACACTTTAAGATGAGGGTGATTCATCAAATGAAAGGATAAAAGTCATCATTTTACAAAATAAATAATAAGCATAAAATGTTTAGGCAATAGTAAAAATATCTACCTCTGTACCGATACCAGTCTGTACACCCTCTACTATTGCGTCAGATGTTAAACTGGTTACGCCCTACTGATGTAAATGTATATATAGTTACTATAATGTCTATTCTTTGGTAAAAATTGAAGTTTCTCCCGGTAAGAAATACCAAGTTGTCTATGAATCTTAGATCTTCAGACATAACAAGAAAACAAATATTGCATCACATCTGACCCGAAGGCCATTTGTGCTAAAAGTTTTTACTTTGAGTTAGTGTATATAGCACACATGTAAATAAAAAGGTGTTCTTCTTTTAATAGTTACATACAATTTCTTCTTTTCTCCTTCACTTACATAATATGATTTCTTTTCTTCTCACAAGTAAATGGCCAAGCTATTCTTTTTTTTAAAAGAGGTAAATAAAACAAGGGGACCCTGTTTCTGTTATTACTAGAGGAAGCGCGACAGCTCAGTCGGTCGAGCAGTGGTCGACCGGATGGTGACCCTGGTTCGAAACCAAGTCGGTGCGCTAGTGCATTTTGGTAAGGCATTAATCCTCATTACCAGGTCCCTCGGAGAGGACCTAAAGTCATCGGCCGTCTGGTTGCTTAAGCATTTATGCTTTCTTAGCAGTCGGGTAAAATAACCACCATCACCATATCACCATAGTACCAAAATGTAAAATATTTATATTTCTAGAAAAATTGCGATATTAATTCTACTGTAACTGTGGAACGGAAAGCTCATGCATGTATATTAAAAGGGGTGCATTATTTTGCTGCAGTCAGTTGTGGGGGAAGCCCTCGTTCGGTTGTGCTCAAGAGCAGCTAAAGCAGAATGCATGCTCCAGAAACATTAGAGTCGATGGTGGAAGCGTATTCGTTCAGGTTAAATGCTGTTCGGCTTTGATTCTTCAAATGAAATTCTTGGATTCTATTTCCATCCCGTTATCTCCTCTCAAATCCTCAAACCATAATGGATGAAGTACGTAAACTATAAAAATGTTAACACTTCATATCTTGTCATGACATCAGATTCTTGTGGACCTTTCAAGAGCTCATTGTTCTTGCTATTCTCTTCTCCTTCTCTCCATCCTTCATCTTACTGAAATAAATATGCAAACAATAACAACAGTCTGTGATGTTGGTATCTCAGGTGGAACGCATCCGTTGTCATGACAATACAATCCTTGTTGAATCTTCCATAATATCATTGTTATTGCAATTGCCATTGTCCTCCATAAACCTTCCTCTTCATACATCCTCTCCTCCCTCATTCTTTCACGTTCCTCTATGGATATGCATGTCAATCATGAAACCTGTGTTTGGTATTAGCATCTCATATGGAACGCATCCGTTATCATGACATTACAGCCCTCGGAGAAGAAGAATCTTCCATGAGATCACTAGTATTGTCAT